CCTGGGCGCCCGGCTCTCGCCTCCCGACACCTATGTGCTGGGCAGCGCCCTGGAGGCGGCAGGCAGAAACTTCTCCCTGGACCTCCGCAGCACCGGCATTGACCCCACGGGACTGGGGACTCTCGTGGGACTCAGCTGTGTCACCCATTTCAGGTGGGGACTGGGGACAGGAGAGGGGGCTTCTTTGTCCTGGGCACTTGCTGTGGTCTTGGGGCTGTGTCCCGTGCTGGCTGTGTGGGGTCTCATTTAGTATGCATTGCAGCCAGGCAGGGGCAGCAGTGACTCTATCTATTTTTTAAGATGAGGAAGCCAAGGCTCAGAAAGGGATAGTAGCGTGCCCAAGGTCACACAGCCAGTGAGGGGCAGCATCATTCTTTCAACCAGTATTTGCACACCCACCATGTGCCAGGCACTGGGCCACATATAGAATCTAAGACTGATTGGGGTTCAAATTCATTTTCTTCTCTCCATCCCCTAATCAAGTCCCCATTTTGTCATGGTTAAGTTAAAGCCACAGCCTCCCCTGACCTCCCTGCCCCCACTCTCTTCTCTTCCACTCCACTTTATATTTAACCATCAGAGCAATCTCTCTAGAAATTGCATCTGATCATATTCCACTCTGCTTACAATCTTTAAGAAGCACTCCACTTCCCTTAGGATGAAGTCAAAATTCCTTAATTTAATTAAGGAATTTAGATCCTTTAGCAATCTGTTTGATCACTTAAGCCTGATCTCCAGAGACTCTCTCTCCTTTTCCCCTAAGCATACTTTATCCAAGCTGTAGGATCCTACACCACTGTAATGGTTCAGCTGAGAATTTAGCACTGAGCTTCCTGGTAGCCAAAGCAAAAAGGAAATAAAAAACCACTGGGAGAATGGAGAAGGAGGAATTGATAAGGGCTCAAGTGGTCATGGAAGGCTTCCTAGAGGAGGTAGGCGTGAAGCTGAGGGAGGAAAGTCTCTAAATAGGTAGGAGGTCCCTTCATGGAGCCACCCCTCCGTTATGGTCTAGCCCAGTCATCGTGCCTGGGTCTGAGGCCCTTCCTCCACAGGGCCACCTTGAGTGACACGGTGGGGCTATGGGAGTCCCTGCAGCAGCGTGGGGAAGCCAAGCTACTCCGGGCAGTGGAGGAGAAGTTCACCATCGAGCCTTTCAAGGCCACGTCCATGAAGGATGTGGAAGACCTGGGCAACCTCGTGCAGATCCAGAGGTGAGGGGGAGAGGGCATGGGAGGCGGTCCAGATCATGAAAGACCTAATACTAAGTTTGCTGTTAGTGCTTCCAGTGCCTCCTCTTTTGGGGGCATCCCATGCCCTCCCCCTGGGCAGTGACCACCCAGAATCTCATTGTACTCCCCTCTCCAGGACTGATCACTTGGTGCTGTTAAAAACTTGCCACCACGTGCCCAATTCTTTTTCAGCTAGAGCCAGGGAGATATTCTCTCCTGTGAAGGCTTCATGAACTGCCTTCTGTATCTAGTAACAGAAGTGACACCTTTGGCCGCCTCTCCAGGACCAGTATCATCTCCATTTTATAGATGGTAGAAGTCTAAGGTCCAGAGGGCAGAGGAAACTTGACCACATAACTGTCTTTCACTCATTCCTTCATCATACATTGACTGATCACCTACTGTGCGTACTGTCTGGGAGGGGTGAGGATGAGCGCTTACTCTGAGGCGCTTTTCCATGAAACAGACAGTAATGGATTAACATTGTCCTGAGGTTTTTCTTTTTAACTGTGGGGCAACAGTAGCCCTGAGGAAGGCAGTCCTTCCAGGGAATTTTGGGCCTCCTGGGACACACAGGAAGAGGCTCAGTGACAGGCGAAGAGCCTGCTCTCCACTAACATTGCCCCTTCTCTCCAGGACGAGAAGTTCCTCTGAAGACACAGCTGGGGAACTCCCTGCTGTCCGGGACCTAAAGAAGCTGGAGTTTGCGTAAGCAAAGGGGTGAATTGTTTGGGGTCCCCTTGAGGTCTCTTCTCCAGCCTTAACTGGGCTTGTGACACCAGAATGGAAATGGGTCTTCAGAATCATTCTTGCCCTTTTGCCCCACCACTCTAGAAGCCAACTTCCAGCAGCTGGGGCATGGCCGGTCCAGTCCTGGAGTATCTTGGGGGTGAAGTTAACTGGCCTATTTGCCAATAAGCATGCTCATTCACATCCACTCATTCAACAGACCTACTTCTATGACGGAGGCCACTGTTCTCAATGAGTTTGCAGCCCAGTGTAAATAGACAAGTACCACCTGCTGTGATTAGTGGCAGGAAAGTCAAGGATGTGAGAGTGCAGACATGGAGGAGGTCAGGGGGACTTCCCGGAGGAGGTGACTGAAGCACTGAAGCTTGACAAAGGAATAGAAATGAACCATGCTGGAGATATTATTATTTTCTCCCTATTGTACAGAGGCAGACACTGAGGCCTAGAGAGTATAAATTGTTTGTCCAAAGTCACAAACATCAGGTAAGCCTGGCTCTTGCTCCGACAAAGGAAAAAGCTATATTCATAGTTGGTTCTTCTTAGGGATCGAAAATCTAAAATCTCCTAGCAATTCAGTAGGAATTATTAAACACATCCAGTGTACCCAGTGCCTTTTATATATAGCCTCATTAATTTCAAGAGCTATTCTGGGAGCTGGTCCTTATCTTCCCCATTTTACAGATAAGGCAGCTGAGGCCTAGTGAGATTAAATAAGTTGCCCCACAGTCCCTAGCTTGTCACCCACAAGCTGCTCCTCCTGATCACTGCTACCGTCGTACCCCCAGAAAAAAGCCAAGCATTTCTTCTTTTGAACAGAGACAAGGTGCCAAATTTGTGCAGTGATAAAAATGTTGCTGAAAAGAGGAAATGGATGAAAACAATTACCAAGGGCCCCTTCTGGCTTTGAATTATTTTCAGCTTAAAAAGCCCCTAGTTGGACATCGGAACTGTGCCCCAGGAGCCAGCAGCTGTGGGGTGGAACAGCCCAGAACCAGGAGACTAGCCACCTGCAGCCCGGAAGCCCCGAGAAAGTTCTGAGGAAAGAAGGAAGGAAGGAAGGCATTATTTTGGGCGTGTGACTGGCAGCCACTGGGCCAGGCATCCTGTAGCTCTCATCTGCCTGTAGCTCAGGTTGCTTGGCCACTCAGTGCCCCGCAGGCGCTCTGCTGGTAGATGATTCTTCCTTGGTTCGGCCCCCATTTACGTCTTCACCCTCACTCCTGCGCTCTCTCCCATGCTTACTCCACGCCAGCCACATGGATCCCCTTGATGGTTTTCAACCTCACTAGGCAGGGTCAGGCCCCTGGGCCTTTGCATGGGCTGTGCCTTCTGTCCAGGACGCTCTCCCCCAGATATCTGCATGGCCCATATCCTCACTTCCTTCCAGTTTTCATTGAGAGAGGCCTTTTTTGACTCCCACATTAAAGGTACAACTCTGCCCTGCTCACCACTGGCCTTTTCTCTGTATCATTTATTATCCCCCACACCAGATAATTTCCCAATGTCTTTGATCATCTGTGTTGCCCCTTGGAATGTCAGCTCCATGAGGGCAAGGATTTTTGCCTGTTTTGTTCACCGCTTTCTGTGTGACAGTCTTGTCTGGTCTGGCACACAGAAGGCAAGCAATCAGTATCTGATGAATGAATTCTTTAATCCTGCTAACAACCTCATAGGATTGGGGCTAAATTTGAGAAGACTGAGACTCAGAGGTGAGGGGATCTGCCCCAATAGATCCTACAGAAGCTCAGTGGCAGAACCCAGACTCAAATCAGATTTCAGATGCCCTTCACTGAAGCAAATGTTTCCCAGACTTTGGGGTTTCAAAGACAGAGTATTTCAGAGTGAATTTGAGTGACTACGGGCAGTTACCATCTTTTAATTAGTATCAAATATGTTCATCCAAATCACTGCTGGTGCCA